GGGCTACCGCCCCCCCCCCCCCGCCCGGTACGCCTATGCAGATGAATCAGGCATTTCGAGCAAATTAAGCCCTGTGACGATTTGGTATTTATAGATTTGGAGTATAAAGGCTGATGTACATGCAACCTGCCTACCTTACTTGAGTAGTAGTGTACGTAGTACTGTGTAATAGTGTGTATTAAAATCAAGCACAATTCACATACGGCTACAACGTAGGCAAGTTGTGTGCTTGATTTACACAGTACAACTCAAGTTGTAAGCAGGTTGCACGCGACAGTTTTAGGCAAAAGTTGTGTAGTGGAAATCGGCCTTAAGCGCTTCACGAAACACTGAAACAGTGACGGAAACACTAGCTGAAACAGTGACGGAAACACTATGTCTATGAAAAGTTGACTGAAACATTAAACACGCAGTCAGTTATTGGGATTTTATTATCTGAATAACCATAGTATTAAACTGGTGTATACACACAGTAACTGAATAACTAACAGTAGCTGTGTCAGTGTATCTTACATCCCGATCCGTGCCATCTGTTTCAAGCCCCGATTTCGATACGTCTGATGCGGGCTTTTCATCGCTCCTATGTCCACCAGTTGATCCCTTTTTATCATGTTTCCCGCCTTTTTCTGAAGGAATTCCATGCTTTTTCTTATAATCAGAGTTCTTCTTTTTCTTATGCTGATCTGGACGCATTATTCTGACCAATATGTAGCCAGTAATTCTTAATTGAATCCATCGAATAATCGAAAATTGTCCGCCATTTTGAAACGTCGAAAATTGTCCGCCATTTTGAATTCGGCGAAGTGCCAGTGTTTCCACAAGGATTTTGTTTTGAAAGCCTTCAAAGCCCCCATGCAGAAGTAATTTAGAAGAGATTTAAGTTGGCTAAAAGCTTTGTTAGTAACTTTATTTCATATTATAATTTCTCGTTGTATTTCTAATATAGCTATATCATACATTTAATACTTAAATATGTATTTATTTTCTGTAATTCGCAATCATTTTCTTTGAAAAATCTGAAAAATATACTTCCCGCGAGTATTCCTCACAAAGTGGAATTACAAAAAAGTTCAATTTCAAAAACAAATATGGCGACGTCCAAGAGCGGATGAATTTTGGAAATCGACTAAATAAAAAAAATTCATTGAAATTTCAGTTTATATACATTGCTGTTTGTGAAATTAAAGAATATAAAACCTTCAACGTGTTTTATAATTTATACAACATTGAAAATTATCATAATTGGGACAAATTATGGTTTATCACAATTGACTATAATTTTTTGACTTTATTGTTTATTTGTCTGTTACCTGTAAGTGGATATTAACGGGTTATCCTTGATAGTCGAAGAAAGGAAGGCTAGATATGTCCATAAAATACAGTCGTTTGCAAATATCTATCTTTGGTCTGTACAGAAGGTTGATTCGAGCTTGCGAAGGACGGGCTGGCTTCAAGGAGTATATTCAGGCAGAATTTCGAAAGAATGCAAAAATTCCACGTTCTAACATTTTGAGGATAGAGTATTTGATGCGAAGGGGTGAAAAACAGTTGAAGGATTTGCAGCGAACAGAAATGCAATCTATAAGCGTGATGAAACCAGGTTTGAAGCACGGATAATGAAGGAGGATTAATTTTTAATGAGAAAATTATTGTGGAAGAAATTATAATGCTTCCAGAAAGCTTTACAAGCTTATAAAATTCGTAACAAAGTGTTAATTATACACAATTTTAATTAAAGTGTTTATTGCGAATCATCAGCAGTTATAATTATTATAAACTGTGGATGAATTATGTACATTTGATGAAATGTATGGTTTATTAAAAATTGTGTACAATACATACTTTGTTTAGAATGCAGACATTCCAACTCGGCCGATTTTACCTTTACCTTTACCTTTTGAGTCTCCCGAAAATTCATGCAATCTCCCGGTCTACCGATTTTTATCAAATTCTCCCGATTTTTCAGAATATCAGGAAATATCATTAAAAAATTATAAATATACTGTTTTTAGCAACATAATAGTCTGTCTTGACCTTTTTTGAAGTTGCTTTATGGCAATTTATATGATCACTTATAACAACATTTCAGAAGACTTAATTTTTATTATTTTTTCCAAGAAGAACTAGATTTCAATTCACTGAACAATCTCCCTAAATTTTACCTCCAGTAGTTGGAATGTCTGGGACTGTTTCTGTTCACTTTTGTTTTATAATGTTCTTTGCTTTTCATATGGTCTGCATCACATGACTCTAGCTCAATTTCTCATCGAGTCTATGTGTTTGTGCTTTTGCATAAATTACACTGCGATATTTGAAATTTATGCATGGCTCAGTGGCAGGGGCAGATCTACTGTGGGCATGTAGGGGTTGCGCACCCCACCTAGTGGTGTCTAACACCCCCTAGAGAAGTCCAGCGCTACCCTAAAAAAATCTGCTTGACCATACATTTTCTGCTTTTCGAATAGCGGTTAGAGGAACTTCTACTGTTAGCACGTTTCAATTTCTTGAAACGATTTAATTGATTTGTGAGCTACAGAGAGAATTCTCAGAAAGCTTCTGTTGATTTTTAAATAGATCATGGTTAAAGGTGATGGTTTTTAAGGCACATTTCAGCCCTTTTAATTGAAAACACTAACTAGGAAAATCAATTAAACATAATTCAAAATCAGCAAAGTTAATGTTTTTAACATTTTAAAACATTTCTATTGTCAAAAACATTGAGTTTACTGATTTTGAATTATGCATAATTGATTTTCCTAGTTAGTTTTTTCAATTAAAAGGGCTGAAATGCGCCTTAAAAGCCATCATTCAAAAGGCTGAACTGTGCCTTTAAATATGGATTGAGATTGTTATACAGCCATATCTTCAAATATACTGTACTTTATCAAGCAAATTTACTGTAAGTGCACCACAGCAACTGTCCAGTCACGCATACGTGATAAAAAGCCAATAAAAACGTAAACAAGTTTTAATTTCTTACTTCTGTGAGCCAAAGTTTGTTGGTAGTAATATATTTAATGTTCAGAATGAACCAAAAATTACAAATTGACACAAACAAATATAATGCATATTTTTT